AAAAAAAAAAAATAATAATAATAACCATACCACCACCCAGGGTTGTTGGGAGGATGGAATAACTTAATAAATGTAAACGTTTAGAGCATCACCTAAAGCCCAGGAAGTGGGTGAGTCACAAAGCGCCCGGTGGGAGTCTTGATTGAAGTTGTGTGACCAGTTACTTCAGCAGAGGCCATTGTAGCGCGGGGGTTTCAAAGTGTGGTCTCCAGGCCAGAAGCACCCCACCTAATCTACTGATTCAGAATAGCTAGGGGAAGTATTTTAACCAGCCCTGCAGGTGACTCACACACCTTACAGTTTTGAGAAACTTGTCTTAGGGGGCAATGCTAGAACCCAAGGACCAACCAGGAAGAGCTACATCTGGCAGAGAGACCCTTCTCTGGTGCCAAACAGCATAAGCACCTGTGCAACTCAGAGAAGGCGTGTGCGCACACACACACACACACACACACCTTAAACTGACTACCTAAAAGAGCCTGCCAGGGGAACCTGCGTGGCTCAGTGGGTTAAGCGTCCGACTCTTGATTTCATCTCAGGTCATGGTCTCAGGGTCATGAGACAGAGCCCTGCCTTGGGCTCCCTGCTCAGTGGGGAGTCTGCTTGAGCTTCTCTCTCTCTCCCTCCCTCCCCCCCCCGTGTGCGCTCACTCTCTCTAAAATAAATAAATCTTTTAAAAAAATAAATAAGAGCCTACCTTTAAAGCAGACTTGAATACATTTGAATTGAGATGCTTACATTTTTTGTCTTCAGTGGACTTGATGCCCACAAACTAAGTTCAGTTCGGTGAAATGAAGACATTTTCATTTTGCACTGCCATGTTCATGATTGCGCATATACCACTTTGCTGAGACGGCCACAGTCCCACCAAAGGATCTGAGCATCATGTTCACATAAGAGGACCTGCCATCTCTTTGCCAAGCCACAGGCTCCCTACGGTACCCCCGCCAAGTCCATGGTCTTCTTGGGGAGCTCGGGGGTGCCATAGCAGTAGCTAGTGTTAGTGTGGTCCTCCTTGTTATCATTCTGAAGTACTGAGCTATAAGCACCACCAAAATCACTGGGTGAAACTACAGTGGGAGGGACCCAAGTTAGCTCATGTGGGAAGTCCCCACAATGGATGTAAGAGGCCACACGGTGTAGACCCTCCTTCTAAGGTGGGAGGAACAGATACCCAGGGACCTGGGAAGTGTTAGCGCGGAGGCTGGTCTTCCCGCAGAGGATCACACAAGGCAGTCCCTTTCCTGCCCCCAGGACCCGCTCTCACCACTTGGGTCATCTTGAGGCACAGTTTCTTATGAGCTGCCGTCAGCATGGCCAGCGCCCCTGCGGCCGCATTCTGCACCTTGTCATCATCCTCCCCGCAGAGCAGCACCACCAGCTTCAGCCGGTCATTCCCATCAGCCAGGAACCTCTCCTGTACCTATATGGGAGCAAGGCGGGTACGTGGCTCAGAGAAAAATTCCCCCACCTGCCAGCCTGGAGAGGGAAAGAGGTACCTGAAGCCATGTTCTCTGACCCAAGATTCTTTGGAGCTTTCCTCTGAGCAGCTCGCCCATGCCACCTCCCCCAGGAAGTCTCTGATTAGCTGGATAAAGGGGCTATAAACTCCTCCAGGTACGAAGTTAAAGAGGGTTTAGGGGTTCTCCATACAGCCTGTGGCACCGCTCCTGTTTGCATTCAGCTACCCACACCAGGGGAAAGGGCAGGCACACACCCACGAACAGTAGATGTTGCCCAAAGAGCCATGTTTCACTTCTCTTTGGGGAAGCCTGGTATGCTTCTCCCACAACAGACGGGCCTTCAGGGTCTGCCATAAAATGACTTTGCAGTCCCTGGAGGCGCAGGGGTTGGACAAGAGCAGGGGACAGAGGGAGAGCTGCTGTACCATTCAACAGGAGAGGGACGGGCTTCCCAAGGACCCTAAAGCCAGGAGTAGAGCCTCTTAGGGCCCAGGGCCCTGATATGTCTCAGAGTTCACTGATCCCCCCCCCCACCACCACCTGCTCCACAGTAAAATCTGGTTGGTCACATTTAAGGGCATTTTGTTGGGTCAGGTTTCCTAGAAGTGGCGCTCTAAAAGGGTCAAAGGTCGGTCATGGCTGCCCAGGTTATGACCCTCCCCCTGCATCTCCCTGAAGCTGGAGCAGTGGTCCTCAGAGGCAAGAGGATGACAGAGATGGTCAGTGCATGGGGCACAGTGGTGACTGGGAAGCAGATACCCCCAAAGGACTACATCCCCCTCCTCTCACATGTAGATGTGGCCATAAACTAGTTCTCATCATGGAATGTGAGAGGAAGTGATAGGTGTCGCTTCCAGGCCACCATGGCGGAGAACTATAGGGGCCTTTCCTGTGGTCTCTCTCCTCATTCAAGTGGAGACCACTCCCAGAGTGGCAGAGAGGGAGACAGTTCTTTTTTAGGGTGGGGGGTTGCGGATAGTTCTTGATGGTTGAAGAAGCCTGGATACAAGTCATTGCTTAGAAGAAAGCCACTGGATCCAAACGTGAGCAAGAAGTGATGTGAGTGAGAAATGAATTTCTATCCTGTTGGGACCGCTTTATTTTGATTTGGGTTGTAGCAGCTGATGTTCCCAGAGGAAGCCTGTCTCCCCTTCCCATCGTCCTTCCCCTCCTCTTTCTTTGGATATACTCTCTTCTCCCACGAGGCTGCCAGCCCCCCAGGCCAGCCTCAGGCCAGCTCCCCGGTGGATCCTGTTTAGATTGATTGATTGATTGATTGATTGATTTGATTTGATTTGATTTATTTTACTTCGACAGGCTTTCATGGGTTGGGTTTTCATTCTATACCAGTGGGAAGATCCAAGACCTTGAGGTAAGAATTGAGAGCAAAGAGAACGGGTCTCCCACTAAGCCCTATATGAGGGCCCAAAAGGGCCACTTAGCCTGGGCCTCATGTTCATGAAGGGCCTCAGATTTGGCCCTATTGTTACCCCTGATGAGGTTATACCTACAGGCATAGCATTACTCTGGCAGGACGGAAAGAAGAAGACATTCATTCACCATATGGTTATAATTTCTCCCCATTACTGGACCGTGAAGCTATTGGCATGTTTTGAATTCATTTTATTTATATAAATCCTATAATTACTCTGTGAAGAACACAGTTACAGTGCATTGCAGTTTCCACGGGAACAGCAATAGTTCATTAAATGTTAACATTTAAAATATCCTAAAATTGTTTGTATCTGTGTTTGCTTTTCTTCATTTTGTTATGTATGGGGAGCTTCGATAAAATGTAAGTGGTCTAGCCTCTTTTGGCCTCTAAGAGGCCCTGGTCTTATATCCTTCTCTGCTACAAGATTATTCAGACATAAGTAACTTATGGAAATGGTACCTTCCATCTCACCCAGCTCAAGCTAGGGGTTAAACCCTTAGCTAGGAACAATACTATTTTGTGTGTTTTCCTTGTCTCCTTGGTACATATATTCTTCTCAGGGTCCCTACAGGGAAGGGGGCTGCACTCCAGGAGAAATACAGGGGTTCCTGGGTTCTCTGGCAAAATGCTACCTTAATACCACTGTAACCCTCAATCTCATGCCAGGCCCTGCTGTGTGGCTTGACTCTTCATGCCAAGATCACTCCCCACCCCCATCCTGAGCCCGCCCCCATCCCGAGCCCACCTCACCTCCTTGTTCACCACCATATTGCACATGCATTCAGTGGCCGCCTGCCGCAGCTGGTCATGATTCTCGAACATGTAGTTCTCAATGTCAGGCAAGGCCCTCTCCTTAAAGATCTTTTGCCTAGGGTGTGAGAGGTAGGGAAAGGAGGCCACTGAGTCCTCCGTACTGAGCACTTGGAGTTTCTGGCCACCCAAGGGCCATTCCGCCCTGCTGGTGGTTCCCTCCCACATCCTCGGCCAACATGGTTTGGATGACATTGATCCTGCCCCCCAGTTCCAGGAAGGGCACCAATGGGCATAAACTAAATGACAGCATAGCATCCTGGCCATAGCCATGGGCTGTGGGATGAACATGTCACCAGGCTAGATTCTTCTGGTTTTTTTTGCTGCAGAAGAGAAACTCTTTCTCTCCTGCTGGACATGAAGCCAAGAAGATGTGAGGTCCGGAGTGACCCTTGTGATCGTGACAGAGGGGAAGAGCCCATTTGAGAATTAAGACAACACAGGCAGGAGAAGTGGACAGAAGTAGGAAAGCGGGGAGTAGTAGGGAAAGTAGAGAAGAAAAGAAAGTAGGGAAGTGGAGAAGTTTTGTAACGCCTGCATCAAGCCACACCCGCATCTGGTCACCCCAGACTTTTATTTACATGAGTCATTAAATTCCTTTTATGCTTAAACCAGTTGCAGTTGAGTTTTCTGCTCCTTGCAACTGAAAGAATCATAACCTAATTCTCTCCCCCATCCCCTTGCTCCCAGGAAGGAATCCCCACCCATCCATTGGGTATCTTTTTTACTACTTTAGTCAGAAAGAAGTGTCTTTATGATCTCCTTTGCCTTCATACGTTCACTATGGGCTAACTCAAATCCCTTCCACTGCAAATGTCTACCCCCTGCCTTCGATCCTGTCCTCAGAGGAAAGCACACACACTACATATGAAGTTTCTGGGGTGCCTCTCTCCACCCCCGCTCCCTCCCTCCCCACCTCACTCACCGGAGTTTGTCACTCCGCCCAGACAGATTCGTGAGGCCCAGGAGAGCCTCGTAGTTCTGGAGCCCATCCCTCTGTGTGTCCAGGAGACTCACGAGAGGCCGCACCACCTCATACACCTGTGTGGAAGGGTCAAGAAGTGGGTCGGGCAGAGACCATGTGCCCCCAGACCTTACCATTTATAGGTGCCCCGCTTTAGAATTTCCAAAATGCTTGTGCACCCACTGTCTGATGCAGCTTTCACAATGACCCTGAGAGGCAGGACTGTTTCCCTTACTTTGCAGATGCGATAACCCCAGTTTCTAAGAGGACAGTCCTGTTAAGTCAGAAGCAGAGCCAAGCCTGGAGTCCAGGCACCTCCAGTTCACTGCCCTCTCTGTGATGGCACCATGCCCCCTCCCAGGCTGGGGGTAGGGCGACAAGGGGAAAGGTCCCTGGGAGCAGAGGAGGCTCCTCCCATTGCCCCATCCCACCCACCCCGGCACCTGGCACCCACCCGTTCCCCCGGGAAGGCGATGTCTGGATTAGAGACGGCGGCGATCTTTGCCAGAGCGTGGGCGGCCTTCACCTTGCCCACATCCGTGCCCTCCAAGGCCAGGGGAATCAGCGCCTGCAAGAGAAGGCACGGTCACTCCTCCGTCATGGACATCAAAGGCCTCTCTTCCCACCCTCCCTCTCCAGCTGTCCGCCTCTGCAGTACAAGCAAGGCTTGAGCATCACAGAGAACGATTAAATACAGAATCAGGGATTCACTCCCTTGCTTCCCGGCACACTTCGATGTCTTCACCTACACTCTCCGCCACCCATCCACACTGCTGGTTTTTGGAGAAACAAATGGATCTGTGTTGATGCCCTGACTTAAGTCAAATCTAATCATCACAGCAGCCACTTCCTGAGTGGCTACTACGAACCAAAACTTGAAGTGTATTTTCTGGAATCCTTGTGACGTTCTGCAGAGTGATTGTGCAATTTCCCCCCCATTTTACAGATGAAACTGGCTCGGGGAGCTTGAGTAATTTGCCCAAAGTTCTGCAACTAAAAAGGGGACAAGCAAGAATGCAAAGACCAATCTTCTACAGCAAAGTCCACGATGGTCTGTGCATCTGTACCAGGCTTCCTTCCAATAGCAAGGAGGATAACTGGGATTCCACACCATAAAATCAGGCAGAAGACAGTTTGGGGCTATGAGCACAGATAGGACAGTATTCCAGGAGGTTGGGTTGGGGCACAGGGTACATTATTCTTGGGCCAGGCAAAGAGCATGCGCGTACTTGCACACACACACACACACACACACACACACACTCCTCCCCATGGATCACCTTCTAGGATGGCAAACCTTATCCCACCAATTACCTTGCCACCACCTTGAGCCACAATGGTTCCTCGGTCTTTAGGGTTATCGCAGAGTGCCAGGAATACCCTGTAGGGCGAGGATGAAGGACACATAATGTGCACCCTTCCCAGGCATCCGCAGGCCAGCCAGTCAGACCTGGGGAAGCCCTAGAAAGTGCTGCCCCCGGCATTAGCCACCTTGGCCAGATACTGCCATGGATATAAGGAGCTGGGGAGAAAGTGAAGCCAAGTGAGGCTGCAAAGAGCCACTCTCTCCCTATTTGGGGAGACAACAAATGGCTCCTTGCTGCCCATCAACCAGGAGAAAATCTTCAACCTGGATGCACCCCAGGACCTCCATGATCTGGCTCTTGTCCCCCTCTCTGGTCTTACTAGCACCCTCCTGTGCACCCCATACTTCAGACATACTGTAGGAGAACCCCATCTCATTCACTCCTTCTCCCTCTGTCCTCAGTGTCTGTAGATGCTGTCCCTTCTGCCCAGAACCATTCCTCCCTGGCATTTCGGTGACTCCGTGTCTCCCCTCATGGTTCCACTGAGTTGTCACATCCTCCAGGAAGCCTTCCTGGTTTGCCCTCCCACCTACCTCCAGTCTGGCTTGTGCTCCAACCCACCCTCTGTTTCCCCCACTGTACCGTAACTGGGAGCCTGTCTGCCTCCTCATCATACTGCACAGAAACTGTGCCTTTTGTCTGGAAGAGCAGGTGCCACAGAGGGCCTGGCAAACAGGTAACCAGGATGGACAGTGACCTCTTTACACCCAATGCAAACGTCCACCTGTGATCCCTGCCCCACCACGTCACTTTTCGATGTTGATCCCCTTCCGTCTCCTCTCCAGGCCCCCAATGACTCATTCGCTCATTTACACCCCTGCCACCTCTATCCCCGCCCAGTCTCCCCCCCAGACCCCTCAGACCCCAGCCCTGGCCCGCTGCAGCCCCACCTGGCCAGCAGCTCTTTGGTCTGGTCGGTGAGGATGGCACTGTCCGCTTTCACCATGCAGGTCAGCGCGGAGGTGACCCCAGCCTTCAGAAGCCGCTTCACACGCATGTCTATAAAGTCCTTCTTGTCCTGGGGAGACGAAAGGGTGGCAGTGGGGAAGGAGCCAGGGCACCAGTCCAAACTATATGGGAACTAAAGGTGGTGCATTTCTGACTGCTAGTGGCAGGCTGAATAATGGCCCCCAAAGATGTCCACGTCCTAATCCCCAGAACCTGTGGCCGGTACTTTACACAGCAAAAAAGGACTTTGTAGATAGGATTAAATCAAGGATCTTGAGACAGGGAGATAATCCTGGGTTATCTGGGTAGGCCCAATATAATCACGAGGGTCTCAACAAGAGGGACGCAGGAGGGTCAGAGTTAATAGAAGGTGTGGCAACAGAAGCAAGAAGCTGGAGTGATTTAAGGTCACTAGCCAAGGAAGGTGGCTTCTAGAAGCTGAAAGAGACAAGGAAACAGATTATCTTCTCAGAGCCTCCAGAAGGAACCAGCCCTACTGCCACCTTGACTTTGGCCCAATGGGACTGATTTTAGATTTCTGACCTGGAAATAGGTCAGCACTGGAAGTTTTAGAACTGGAAGATAATAAGTTTGTGTCATTTTAGGCCATTACGTTTGTGGCAATTTGTTACCGCAGCAATTAGAAACTGATATACTCTTCCAGATTCCCTTTGCCCAAACAACAGCCAAGGGGGTGTCTGGCATGTTCTCCTCTTCCTTGCCCCCTCCCCCACTCCCAGTACAGAGCCTGAGCAGCTGGTGTGGCAAGAAAATCACCCCAAAGATCTTCATTCACAGAGAAGTGAAATCAAAGAGATCATCCAAAACCCTAGATGACCCAAATATTCCCTTTTTTGCAAAAGGTTGGCTTTTTATTGGTGGGGGGAGGGGAGGAGTTGGATGGGGGAGTTGGGGGATTAGGCAGGAGGGAGAGGGGATAGGGAGCAGATAAAGTTGACCTAACAATGGATTGGATTGTGCTGGAAATCCAAAGTCTGCCCCAGGGTTGAACAGTCTCTACAGATAATTCTTGAAGTGGCTGGAAAGACACTGGCCGTCATGTGCAATCTCTAGAAGCCACATTTGAACTTTACAGCAGCAGAATATGCTATATACCCTTGCCTGCATGAACCACTATGCAGCTTTAAAAACTGATTCTGATTAAAAAAAAAAAAAGAGGGGGGGACACCTGGGTGGCTCCGTTGGTTGAGCGACTGCCTTTGGCTCAGGGCATGATCCCGGAGTGCCGAGATCGAGTCCCGCATCGGGCTCCCTGCTCAGCGGGGAGTCTGCTTCTCCCTCTGACCCTCCCCCCTCTTGTGCTCTCTCTATCTCATTCTCTTTCTCAAATAAATAAATTTAAAAAAATAAAATCTTAAAAACTGATTCCTAGAACGACATAGCAGGTGGCAGGGATTAAGGAGGGCACTTGTCGTGATGAGCACCGGGTGATGTATGGAAGTGTTGAATCACTAAATTCTACACCTGAAACTAATATTACACTGTAAGCTAACTGGAATTTAAATAAAAACTTAAAAAAAAATAATGGCATAGCAATATGAAAACACCTAAAGTATTTTCCCAAAATTGGGCACAAAATAATAACAACATTCTGATTATAACTATGAAAAGAGAAAAGATGCACAGAGAAAAACAGCCTCTGGTAGGTAATATAATATACCAAAATGCTGATAGTGGTCAAGGGGAGATGATGTCATTATGAGTAGTCATTTTCTTTTCTCTGCTGTCCACCTTTTTGTTTGTTTTGCAATATGGTTATATTACGTTGACCATTTAAACAAATCTTTTACAGGCTGGAAACACAATGCATGTACATTCATATTTAAACCACATACAAAGCATACCCTTGAGTTCAGGGGATCCCTGGGGAGGGCCCCAAGGGGGTTTGTGACATCTGGGCTACTGCTGACCGGCATCTCTCTGCCTCTCATTATTCCTACTTAGTACCCATAGCCCCAAATCTAGATATCCCAGGAAACAAAAGTTCCGTAAGTGTTGGAAACATAAAATACACTGTCTGAGGTCCGTGAAACTAACAACATAAACGTTCATCAAGGCTCCATTTGATTTTCAGACTACAAATGGCTGGATCTTCACCCCCCCACCCCGCGTAAAACATTAAAACTGGGGGGGGAATGAGCACCACTTAATGGGGGAAATGTATCCATGATCCTCTTCAATTTTTCTGTGTCCTATGCCAAGTCCTCCAAGCATGCACACACACACACACACACACACACAGCACCCAGACATCACTACCTTTCCGTTCACCTCTCTGGCAGCCTGGTGGCAGGGACCCCTCCAGCATCATCCCTAGCCTTACCTTAGGGTGCTCCTCGGGCACGTGCTGCTTGGAGAACTTGGCGAGCTGCACCAGCTCAGGGATGACCTCCTTGACATCGTAGCTGTTGGTGCAGTTCACCAGGGTGGTGGCCACTGAGTACAGGATGGTCTTATCAGTAGTCTGGAGTTACGGGGTGGGGGGGCAGGAGGAGAAAGGCAGAAAGGAAACTTTAGAAAACATCTCTGCTTCCAGGACGGCTCCCTGGCCGGGCCGGTGAGTTGGTTTGGGAGGAGTGTGGCTGATGTAGCCCAGCTTGGAGAAGAGCAGGTGGCAGGAGAGGGAGGAGGGAGGAGGAACTGGGAGCTGGCTCTGCTCATGCAGGGTGGGCAGAAGTTTCTCCTGCACCTGCAACAGCGCCCCTGAGAGCATGGGTGGGGGCCCCCTGAGTGTGCCTCTTTCAAAAGCCCAGGCCAGCACGCTTTGGTGGGGGTAGGGTAGGGACTGGACACCTCTGGTCTGGCCCCCACGGAAACTCCCTCCCTCCTCTCCTCCCTTTGGTGGTGGAAAAGAGCCAGGGCATTAGCCTAGCAGAGGAGGAAAGGAGTCTGGGAGGCGCTGGGAAGGAGGAAGGGACCCAGAAAGGGCTAAGCACTGCCTCTCAGTCCCTCAAGACCTCACTTCCTGAGGGTCCCAGGAAAAAATACCATCCTCTCATTCATCTTCCCACTGCCTGGAAGCCATGAAGAGTCATGAGCCCATTTTATGGTCAGGTAAAATAAGGGCCAGACAGGGGGAAATAATCAATCTGGTTTACATGGGTAGGAGGGCCAGAGCCGGGAGTCTCATTTCCCAGGCTCAGCGGAGGACCCTGTGAGCCTGAACCCAGGAGACCTTTCCTGAGGCCAGAGGTCAGGGCCACACTTGCCTTGGCCAGCTCAAACATGGCCTGCAGGGCAGGGATGTCCTGGACCAAGTCGTCTTTCACGTCGGCATCTAGCGTGAGGTAGGCCAGGCCCTCCACTGCCCATCGCCGGGTCCGGGTATCTATGGATGCACTGCACAGCCACCTGGAAATTGGGGAGGAAGAGCACTGGGCAGGGGTGCTGGGGCTCAGGTCAAGAGATGAAGCCATTTCAGGGTAGTGGGTAGTAGGTGGGGGGCCTTTCACAATGTGGCGTCCTCTGGAGCCCATCCCAGAGAGGAGGTGGCGGGCTTGAGGAAGTAGGACCCCCTTACTTGCGACACTGTTTGGCCAGCTTCTCTGTGGACCCTTCAGCAAACTGCCTGAGGCCGTAGTCCGTGCCTCCCGCGGAGCCAAGCTTACAGAGTCCCTGGGGGGGCGGGGGGGGAGGGAGAGGCTTGTAGAGTCAGACACACTTGGGGACAAAGGCCTTGCTCAAACAGGTCCCTGTGGCTGGAACACTTTGCCCCTTTACCTTTGCTTGGACAAACCTCTATGCCTACTACAAAACCCCGCTCAGGGGTCACCTCTTCCAAGATGCCTTCCCCGAGCTCAGCTTCTAAGACAGGGTAGATGCTCACGAAGCTGGACTTTTTTTTCCCAAGATTTTATTTATTTATTTGTCAGAGAGAGAGAGAGCACAAGCAGGGGGAGTGGCAGGCAGAGGGAGAGGACCCTGGGACCCTGGGATCATGACCTGAGCTGAAGGCAGACACTTAAAACATCTGAGCCACCCAGGCGTCCCACGAAGCTGGACTTTTGCACCCTGCCCGTTTCTATCGCCATTTGGACCCCACTGATGTTTAGTGTTTTGAAGAAAAAGCACAAGACAATACTTATCTTATCTGAAACTGCAACGGTGAAGGTTATTCTCGTACAAAAACTGGCACAGAAATCAGACCTTGTGGGTAACGAATTTAGACGTGCAGAATTTTACCCAGGAGAATTGCACTCATATTAGGAAAACGTGCCTTCCATAAGAGAAAACTCATGATGGCAGAAGCTATAATTAGTCCTTTAAAAATTGATATAAACAGGAAAACACATCAGTGGCTCAAGTTGTCACTGTAATGGTATACAAGCAACATAAAAGACCCATGGAAAGACTTTCTGTAAAATGAAATCGGAAACATTGAAACAGGTGAACTGTGCCATCCAGAAACTGATTAAGGACACAAACTGACTTTTTAGAGTTTGCTTTGAAAATACTGGTTGGACAGAAGCTCCTCAGGGTTAGCGTCGTTCAAAAGCATGGAGGCAAATGTCCCCGGGATTATACAGTAAGGGCCCGCCATTCTGAATTTCCGTTCTCAGAGCCTCCTTCTTTCACCCTGCTCTGCAGGGGCCCGTGGGTGGGTCCGAGTGCCCCCTACAGCGTGGACTTCTCCCAGATAGGGGCCATGCCCTGTTCATCCTGGCGTCCCTGGTGCCCTGCACTGTATCTGGTGCCAACACTCACCACCAGTGTGCGGATCTTGATCTTCTCGCTTTTGGTGGTCTTGTAGATCTCTTTGAGCAGTGACACGCCATTGGTGATGATGAAGGTTGCGCGGTTAAGCTTGGTGGACGCGTGGATGAGGGCCTCCACGGCCACCAGCTGGTCTACCTCACGCTCCGAGCCGCACAGCGCTACCATCAGCTCCATCACACCTTTTAGTCCTAACAGCTGATTGCCCAGGTCAAAGGGGCCTTGCAGGATCCCTGACACCGTCTGAATGGCAATCACGTTCTTGTCCATGTCTTGGGGGTCAAACTTGCCCCTAAAACAGAGGGCAAGGTGGTCAAGAGAACTGGCTGAGGTGGGTGGGAAGAGTGTGGGATTTGGGGGCAGACAGACTTGAATTCACATCTCGGATCCACCACTCATGTGCTGTGTGACCTTGGGCAATTTACTGAACCTCTCTGAGCCTCAGCTTCTTGATCTAGAAACTGATGGTATAGTACTACTACTTATCAGAGTTACGGTGAGGGTAAGTGATATAACAGACATGCCATGGGTTGTGTCCCCAAGAAGCACACTCAGATGGATGGGGATTGACATGTAGGAAGTTTTTGAGGGAGAACTCTTGGGATCAGCTCACGTTGGAGAACGGAAGGAAGCGAGACTGGGCAGAGGGACACGTTGGGCTGCAACTCAGTCAGCATAAAGCCTCAGCCTGTGATGAGTGCTACAGTGGGGACACATTCCAGAGTTGTTTCCAGCTGGGAGTAGGGATGCGTCATTGGATGCTGGCCGCCCTGGGGACTGTCTCCAGCTGAGGGAGGTCCCCAAGAGAGGTTACAGGCGAGGGCTGTCAGTGCACGGGCTTCCCAGCAGCTGGGATGTCTAGCGGGACAGTACTGCAGCCACACCAACACGGAAGGGTACCGTGGTGCCCGGCACACGGCATCACTCTGCAGTGTGACCAAGTCATGCAGTAGCCTGAGCTGCTTGCTCCCCCATCTGGTCCCAGCACCCCGCCCCCCCACTAGCAAATGAAAGGTCTGCCTTGCTTTTGGAATCGACTCTCTCTACTCTATGGGAGAATCTCCATGTGGGGATGTCAGAGATGACAAGTCTTCTGATCTTCCCATGATCTGCCCAGGTCGGTCTGATGTGAGGGACCAGAAGTGCATAGTGTGATGAATGGGAAGAAAGAAGGCGGCGTAGTCTGGGCAGGAGAAGGCCACACCGAGCCAGACTGGGAGACCTGGGCTGTGATCCCGCATCTGCTGCTGGCAGGCTGGGTGACCTGGGCAAGTCCCTGTGGGGGAGAGGGTCGGCTTTGGAAGCTCAGAGAGCCCCTCCAGTTCCGATGCCCACTCCGTGCCAGGGAAACCAGAGCCTTTCATAATCGGTCAGGGTCTGCCTTCTCGGCTCCTTCCACCCGCCCCTGCCGCAGTGCCTGGTGAAGCAGGGTGGCTTACACCCTTGGGGAGGGCCCACCTCAGGCACCTCTGCTGCAGGAGGTGACCCCACCCGCTCAGGCTCAGTGACTGATCCAGGCAGGGACGGAAGGTACGGGTTGGAACAGGAGCTGACAAACTTTGGCTGCTTGGCCAAATTTGGGAGGCTGAGAATGGTTTTTACAGTTTAAAGGGTTTTTTTGTTTGTTTGTTTTTTGTTTTGTTTTGTTTTTTTAATATGCAACAGAGGGCTGCACATCCCACCAAATGTAAAATATTTACTCTGGTCCTTTAGAGGAAAAGTTTGCCAACTCCTGGAAGGGAGAAAGGAAAAGCAGAGTGTCTCCACCCCCCCAAGACTCACTTGGGATACTTTTTAAACTTGTAGCTTCCTGAGCCACAGCCCAGACTACTGAGTCAAGGCGGGAGGGTCCCAGAAGTCTGAATAATTGACAAGCATGAGGATCATTGGAATAAAGGGTTAAAAGATGGTGTAGCAGTGAGAGAAGGAAGGGGACACATAAAAAAGAGACTCGGAGCATCTGAGTCACAGCGATGGCACAGTGGCAGTGCGAAGACCAGAAGGCCACTGTTGAGGGTCCCAGGCTGCTGTCTAGGCTCTGCGAGGCCGCAGAGTGCTTAAAGTCTCGACAGCACCAGGTCTCCGTCTTGGATAAGCTGAAATTTGTTCTTTCAACTGCAGGCGCTTGTGATAGGTTTAAAATAAGTCCAAAAATATTTTGACGCTCCTCCGTGCAAAAGGTAGAGCCTAACTCCCTCCTCTGAAATGTAGACCATGCTCGTGGCTCGCCTCTCACGAAGAGAATGTGTGGAAGTGATCTGTGTGACTTCCGGAGCTAGGTTATAGAAGACATTGCCACTTCTGCCTCGTTCTCTCTGATCCGCTCACTCTGGGGAAGCCAGCTACCAAACGGTAATGATACTCAAGCAACTGTGGACAGGTCCACACCAGGAGGAACGGAGGCCTCCTGTCAACAACCAGCCATTAGAGCGCGCCATCTTGGAAGCAGATCTTCCAGCCCCAGTCAAGCCTTCAGATGACGGCAGCCCAGGCCGACATGTGCCTGTAAGTTCCTGAGAGCCCCAAAGCCAGATCCAGGCAGCCTAGCCACTCCCAAACTGCTGTCATATTGTGAAAGAATGAATGGTTACTATAACTTCAAGCTGCTAAATTTGGGGGTGACATCGATAACTAACACAGAGAGTGATCCCATGAGACTCACGTGATGTACTCCTCACAGATCTTGCGGAAGTGGTCGCGCTCTGGGTCACAGCGAAGGTCATCGTAGAGCTTGTTGATGAGGATAGAGGCCAGCATGCGGGTGTTGTCGGTCAGAGGCAGGCAGGATGGCAAATCTGGAACCTGCCCCACCACCTTCAGGATCTTCCTCAGGCCTGCAGGACAGATGATGGCAGATCTGCTGGGGTCTGTCCTCACAAACACACCATCTTATTCGGTTGTCTTAACACCAGCTTCTCTCCAGTGTGCCTTTAGGCAGCACACGGCTTACCCAGAGTGAAGGACACTGGCATGGGGCCAGGAGACCCACATTCTACACCTGACTCTGCCCCTAGGTGAGCAATTCACCTCCCACTGTGGCTGGGCTTCTATTTTCACATTTACAAAATTAGGACGAGTTGATCTCAGGGGACTGTACAAGTGCTGACATTCTGTGGGTTGATGTATAACCTTCCTCAAATACTATCTGATATTCTCTCTTCCTCAGGCCTCATTTCTGTAAAATGGGAACCATACTCTACCTACAGCAGAGCGTTTGAGGACTCAATGAGATCATGTATGGAAGCTGCCTGGGGCCAATCCAGACATGTCATCATCACTCAATGAACATTTATTATTTATTTAGTAAATGCTACATTTGCTATTTGTTATTACTACCGCTTCTCCTCTCTTCTATTGAAGAATCTTCACTGACTTCCTATTACCCATTAGGCTAATCCAATCATTACATACCTGTTGAATAAATGAGCGAATACATGAATAAACAAATTAGCACCTTTTAGGTAGCAAATACTGAAATTAAGGATGTAATCCTCTCCTCAAAATGTTCACAATGCAATAAGGAACAGTCATATAAAGATTACAATAACCTATGATAAGGACAGAAGGTGTGATAAGGACAGAGTTATGACACCACAGATGGGGTAATTTGCTCCAACAAAGTTAAGAGCTGTAAGTGATTCTGAGCACTTACTATGTGCCAAGAGCTTTATACACGTTACCTCGTTTAATCCTAACAAAAACCCCCTGGTTAAAAATCATTATTCCCGTTCTTTTTTCAGAGCAGAAAAACCAAGACACGGAGAAGTCAAGTAAGTTGCCCAAGATCACGCAGCTGGTAAGTGACACAGCAAGGACACCGTCCCAGCCATGCCTGACTTCAAAGCCCATGATATTAACCGTTATGTCATGCTGCCTCTGGGACAATTGAAAGCTTGACTTCAGAGCCAGGTTTTAGGAGTGGCTACGAGTTGGTCTGACCTTAGCTGGCGCAGGTAAGCGGGGAGGAAGAGCACTCAAGGTAGATGCTGGGAGGCATGAAACTCTGGACGCTAGGAGGCAATTAAAAGTGCTCAGCAGTATGTTTTCTGTCGTGCATGCTTTACCACCCCACAGAAGCACTGGCAGGGCTGGGGAGTCATGGAAGGGGGTTGATGAACCAACCCAAACTCCCCAGCCTAGCTCTCAGAGAGAGCCACTGAATGCACCTGCTCTACCAGCCACCACCTCCCCAACCTCAGCCCCCGCACTGCCCTTCCATTCCCACCCTTGCCTTGAGCATCTCATTCCTCTTCTGCTAGAACACTCTGGACCTTGTCCTCATCCATCACCGCCCCTCCCTGAACCCAAAAGCTCACTTGACGCTGGATGTTCTGATGGCTCCCCAGTGCAAGTCTCCCAGACCAGCTCATACAATGTACTCCCAGTGTACTTTTTACACTAGTAAAAAGGCAGCTTTTTACTAGTGTAACAGGATTCGTGAGTCCACATTATTTTTACCCAAGAGCTCTTTATTTTGGTGCCTCGAATAACAAATATTGCTCCCCACCTGCCCTTGCCCTTAACTGTGTGGTTGGACCTCGGTCCTAGTGAAGAGAGAAAGAGGTCTATGGTTCCCCCTTTGAAATACATGCAGAAAAGACTGGGACTGGGGAGGGGAGGGGAGGTGCTGAGGGAGGAGGTTTATAAGCTAGAGTAATCTGTTACTGTACACTTTGCTGAGACCTGTGAAAACCAAACAAGGAAGTGCAATATCAAAAGAAGATCCATTTCAAAGGGGTAAAGCTAATCTGAGCCTTTAGAACAAAGGATGATCTATGCCCTATTAAACCTGTGGAGGTCATCACAGTAGATTATAAAGCCATGGGTATGACTCCCGAACAACTAAAGTTGATTTGGGAGAGGTGTAACACCCTGGAGCTGACCAGATAGATAGGGACTATCTGCTGGAACCTCATTCCTGTGCTTTATATATAGGAGACTTGATGCCGTTTCTCCCTTCTAGAAGGCCGTGGAGTATTTTGCCAACACCAAGACTTCAGGAACATTACCCCATGGCTGGGGGAGTCCTGTTTGTCTTTGGCATGGTCCCCCGTGGTGAGGTAGCTCTGTCCAGGTGTTTTTCAGTGTGTTTGGACATTTTCTGGGTGTGTTCAGGCCCTGAATTCAGAGCTGCGCCTTGATCTGTATCTTCACCAGCCCCTGGTGGTTCCTAACTGCTAATGCCTTGTCCCAGGCAAGGGCCATACCTCTTCTGTTTTCTGCTCAGCGCCAGAGATCCTGGTGCCCACTCAAAAGGCTGGAGTGAGCCCCCGACCCTCCCGCCTCCTCACCGTTATCCACCACATAGATGGTACGTGAGTTGTCGTGAATGGCGAGGTCCTTCCTAGGAACATTCTTATTGAGCAGGTTCAGGGCCTGATCCCTGCCCTGGCCAGACACCTTCTTACTGACCAGCATGTCGAGCAGGTGGCTGGTGATCTGCTTCAGGTCCTTCTTGGTGTCTGAGGAAGGAGATGACAGGGGTAAAGAGAGAGGAGGGAGTCTCAGATCTATAGGACCAGCAATGGCAGAAGCTTCCAGAAGGACTCCGGAAATACGGAATCCACTGCTTCCTGGATGTTGGAATTTCCCAGGAGGGTATAGTATTGCCCATCTCACCCCCAAAAAGGGGAGAGAAATCCCTAGACAATACCCCCAAGTGGACCTCCAGCCACTCTGCACTGCGCCCTGACTTCTACCGCAGCTCACGCGTACTTGAACAGCTCTGGTTCTTAGAAAGTTCCTTATTCCTAGGCATGACTGGCAGGGAGCCAGGGGCACTTCATGTAGCTTTTAATAAACTGATTTAACAAAATGTTTTCCTGAAAAGAAATTCATACTCCTTACAGATATCTTACTCCCTGAAGATCCAGGCATGCCGGGGGCCTGAATTCAAGCCTCAGATGGGATGCCACATCTTCCCTGCCCACTGAGGGATTAAAAGGTAAATGCTTTTTCCTGCTTTTGCCCTGTCTGACTTCTCTACATCTTAGGTAATTTTGCTCTCATTCTAAGGTTGGAGCCAAAGGCAGGCAGGGAGGCAGGCGGGCATGGGGAGAGGCAGGGAGGCAGGCAGGGAGGCAGGCAAGGAGGGAAGCAGAGAGGCAGGGAAGCAAGCAGGTAGGCAATGAGGGAGGGAGGCAGGCAGGCAGGCGGAAAAGGAAAGATCTCCCAAAAATGTCATATAAATGAAGGATGAAAGTTGAGGCTATCTCTAACTGGACAAGGAAAGTCATCCGTGGACTTGATAGTTTGTTTCCAGATAAGGGTGGGTCACAAGGGTGAGAGAACTGACTTATTCTGTGAGGCTCCAGACGGCAGAACTGGGCTCAGAGGGGAATGGAAGCTACAAAGAGATGGATTTGAAATCAGTATTTGGAAGAATTCTTTAGCAGAGATGTCCAGCAGCTCTCTACTTCCCAAGGACGCTGTGGCCGCCAACAGAACCACCCCTTTTTAGGGTCCATCTCTTCCACTCTGGCCCCAGGTTGGTCATGGGACTTACAGCACTCCCAGGAGCTTAAAAGCACTTGCACATTGGGGCTGGTCCATTGAGAATGCAGCCACCATGCTTGACAGACACCCAAGCTGCCCTCTAGAGAGGCCACAAAGAGAAAACCCAGGGTGTCCTGTTCGCCACCAGCTGTATGAGTGAGGCCATGTCGGACCCCCCAGTGGTTCTAGCGGGAAAAGAATGACTTGCTGACCATTACGACAATAAGTCAAAACCACATCAAGAACCTAGGGAGCAGCTGGGTGGCTTTCAGCTGGTCAAGTGTCAGCCTTCGCTCAAGTCATGATCTCAGAGTCCTGGGATCCAGCCCCTAGTGGGGCTCTCTGCTCTGCAGGGAGCCTGCTTCTCCCTCTCCCTCTGCCTGCCGTTCTCCCTGCTTGTACTCTCTCTCTCTCTGTTAAGGAAATAAATAAAATCTTAAAAAAAAAAAAAAAAAAGACTGGAAAGACACATATGGCAGTGATAATAATTATCTGGAGGGGGGGTTACAGGTAAGCGTTTTTTTTTTCATCTTTACATATTTCTAAAATGTTCCAAATTTTTCCAAGAAGTCTCTGTTACTTTTTTCTAGTTGTGCTAAAACATACATGAATAAAATTTATCATTTTAACCATTTTTTAAAAGATTCTATTTATTTATTTGACAGAGAGAGAGAACACAAGGAGGTGTGGGAGTGAGGGGCAGAGGGAGAGGGAGAAGCAGACTCCCCGCTGAGCAGGGAGCCCAACTGAGCCACCCAGGCGCCCCTCATTCTAACCATTTGTAAGTGTCCAGCTGAGTGGCATTAAGAACATTCACATTGTTTGCTGCCATCATCACCATCCATCTCCAGAACTTTGTTATCCTGTAAAAACCAAAACTAAACCACTCATTTCCTCTTCTCCTAGCCTCAGTGACCACCATCCTACTTTCTGTCTCCATGATTTGGACTACTCTAGATACCCCATATAAGTAGAATCAAGCAGCACTGATCTTTTTATCACTGGCTTACTGCATTCCACATAACGTCCTCAAGGTTCATGCACGTTGTAGCCTGTCAGAACGTCCTTCCTCTTGAAGGCGGAATATTATTCCATTGTGTGTATAGACCACATTTTATCTATCCATTCACCCCTGCGTGAACACTTGAGTTGTCTCCACTTTTATTTTTATTTTTTTAAAGATTTTTATTTATTTATTTGACAGAGAGAGAGAGAGCACAAGCAGGGGGAGCGGCAGGCAGAGGGAGAGGAAGAAGCAGGCTCCCCTCGGAGCAGGGAACCCGACATGGGGCTTGATCCCAGGACCCTGGGATCATGACCCGAGCTGAAGGCAGATGCCTAACTGACTGAGTGACCCGGGCGCCCCACCTCCACTTTTAAGTTATTGAAAATGATGCTGCTATGCCTCTATTACTTTTATTATTAGAAAATAAATATAAAAACAAAACCAGGCCACCTCCACATACAGGGACTGAGCCGTCAGAGGAGGCAACTGACTCTCCCTGGCCCCCACCCCTTTGACAAACATGGAAGACTGCCTCCTACCTAGAACCAGGGCTTCGTCCTTGCCTCGATGTTCTCGTTTGTCCTCCCCTGACAGAGAGTCAATGATGGCCTGGAGCAGGTTGCAGACAGCCAGAGACATCTCCTCGTTCTCCACGGCCATGAGGCCACAGATTCTGTCTATCCGGACTGCATGGAGAATCACCGTGGCCTAAACCCCCAGCAAGACCCACCATCAGCTGCCTGCCCCTCTCTTCCAGCTGCCGTGCAGGTGAGGAAGTAGGGGACGACCATCCCCACCCTGCCCGTGCAGGAGGGAAATAAGCCCAGGCAGCCAGTGCCTCGTGGGGCCCAAGGTCTGGGAAGACCCGTGACACAAGCCATGCCTCTTTCCAGAAGCTGAAAGCTGGGCTGTCCGACACGGGAGCCATCTGCCACCTGGGAGCCATTGAGCACGTGCAATGTGGTGAGTCCGCATTGAGATGTGCTCTAAGTGTACGATACACACTGGGTTTGGGAGATTTAGTATGATAAATGCCAACCACCATAGCCTTTGCATTCAGCTCTGCCTCATAAACCACTTTCAATAACCTTATCTTTGCATAAAGGCATTTCCAGCTCGAAGGGAAATGCAGAGGATCAATCTCCGTTGAATCCAGAACCATACAATCAAGGATGGGGGGGGTACACCTTAGACTTTGTATCAGGGTCTATTTATGCTGGCCGCTCCCCGCCCACATGTCACCCTCACCCTCGCTCGGTGGCCACTGCACAAGCCCGACAGGGTCCGCACGGCGGCCAGCACCAGCTCGGGCCTCTTGGTGTCCATGAGCTGCAGCAGCAGGCCCACTCCGTTGTTTTGGAAAATCATCTCAGCCCCTGCTTCTTCACGCCCTAGGACGATGAGGTTGTTGGCAGCCTGAGGGGGGAGGACACAATGAGGGTCATGGAGGAGGTGGGGGTCCCAAAGTCTTGGTCAGGGGCCGATGCAGGGGCTGGTGTAAGGACTGGATTTTCTTTTCTTTGTTTTTTTAAGATTTTATTTATTTATTTATTTGACAGAGAGCCAGCAAGAGAGAGAAAGAGAGAGAGCGCGAGCAGGAGCAGAGGGGCAGAGAGAGAAGCAGGCTCCCCGATGAGCAGGGAGACGGATGAATGTGGGGCTCTATCCCAGGACCCCAGGATCATGACTGGAGCTGAAGGCAGATGCTCAACTGACTGAGCCACCCAGGCACCAGGACTGGATTTTCAAAACATCTTTATATACTGGATTCTTTCCCTGTAATCAAACCCCTGGAGATGTAGCCTAAGAATATGATTCAAAAGAAGAAACAAAGTAACTTGCATAAAGGCAAACTGAAATAGTGTATAGCCAATGAAGTCATAAATAAAAAGATGACCCAGCAAATTGGAAAAAAAGAATAAGAAAAACACTGGTAAGCAGAATCCAAATAGTAAGTTCACTCTGATTGCACTTACATTAAAACAAAACTGTGTATATATGCTTATGGATAAGGACTAAAAAGTTAAATTAATTAAACAAGGAGGCCCTTAGAATGAGTGGCTTTAATGCCCTAGCAGCTAATGTAAGCAAACACAAACCTAAGCCTATAATGTCTCAGAGTTAAGAAATCAAAACTTAAGGGCACCTGGGTGGCTCAGTTGGTGTCTGCCTTCCGCACGGTCATGATCCCAGGATCCTGGAATTAAGCCCCATGTCCGGCTCCCTGCTCAGCGGGGAGCCTGCTTCTCCCTCTCCCCCCCTGCTCATTCTCACTCTCTCTCAAATAAATAAATAAAATCTTTTTTAAAAATTTAAAAATTAAAAAAAAGTCTAAATGTAAGAACAACTATTACAGCCAACTAGGCTTTCCCAAGTAACG